GGCGTGATACCTGAAGTTGAAGCTACAAAATGCTCAAGAGTTAAATTGGATCGGATTAAAAAGGTAAATTTCTTCCTGAATTCTATTTATGAACGGGTGAATTCCAAAGTCATTTATTCAAATTTTTATTTTAATAAAAACTACTTTTTGAAAAAATAATTTTTTATTAAAAATTACTTTTAAAGATTATTGGAGAATAAATAAGAAAAAATAATTATGAAATAATATATATATGTATATATATATATATATATACAAAAATTACTAGAAAATAGTGAATTGTATAAATGATAGAAAATACTTTTTAATTATAAAAATATAAAATAAGATAATTTTTTTTATAAATTAATCTTTAAAAATAATAAATCTTTGTCTTTTCCAATCATTAGTCGACACGTTCTTATTTTTTTAAATTTTAATTTGGAAATTAGACGGCGAATTGATGGGCAGGGAACAAGAGGGAGGAAAATTAGGTTTAATTTAGAATTTCAAGAATATAATATATTCTCAATTTCAAGGCCTTTTTTGTCTTCTTACTTTTATTTATTTTTTATTTTATTTTTTGCTAATCAATTTAATAATTAAAATTTATTGATTAGACCAGTAAAATTTTGAAAACCGTGTTTACTTAAGAAATAATTATATTTATCTAACCTAAAAATGCTTTAAAAATATATTAATGTATCACATGTCATGCATCTGACTAACCATAGGTTATATTGTTATAAGAAAGGTTTGGGTATAAATTTGATTAATTAATTATACAATATGATATAAAATTCAACAATCCCTCCTTTAATGTTGTCCCTTTTTCGGTCAAACTTGGATGCTTACGGATTTAGATGTTTAAAAATTAAGACTTATTTTTCCACGAGAACCGTTTACAAAAATATAAAACTTTACCTTTAAAAAGATATTCTTACGTATGTAGTTAGGAAGATCAGCCACAATCTAAGTTGTACGACCCACCCTACTCTATCACTTATAGATGGCCGTTCGTTCCATAGCAGCCCGAAAATGAACTATAGTGATGGATAGAATTCTCATAAAAATACTACTAGATCGAGCACCAGTGATTCCCGCACCTGAAAGCAACTCCGCCAACTTGCCGATGAGAAGTCATTAATTTTTTTTTTTTCATGAAAAACGTTAAAGTTTTGATAAAAAAAAATAAACCGTACCCTTATTTGATTATTGAAAATTTTGAAAGTCGTTAAAAGGTTTAAGAATATATTTTTAAAAAAAGTTTTTAATGTTTCTTTTTTAAAAGGTTAAAAAGCCTTTTTAGAATTCCATGCCTAACCTTGCTAGTTGATGCAACAAATGCATGCATATATCGAGATAGATTTGGTAGTGTCAAACGACTTATTATATGTCTCGGGTTTTTAATTAAATGGTCGATCGAGGGATGGCTATAAAGCCATCGTTTTGAGGGTCAAGGATTAAAAGTCAGCCAAAAAGGACAACACTTTTGTCTCTGGTTCAAAAGATGGTGGCCGACCCTTTAAGGATGTTTCCTGGTATGATCCACAGACACGAATTTGAATCCAATCCCAAGTTTTTTTTTTTTATTATATATATATATTGTATTTAACGGCTAGTCGAAATGATTTTTTTTAAATAAATTACATCCATTTCAAATTTTATGATATGTATATAAAAAATGACTAAAATATCCTTTTAGCCCCCTCTCTTACGACCACCTCCCTTGCCCATGTTCGAAAATTATTGCCATTGCTAACAACCTTTGAACTGGTTGAAGATAATCGGATAATCCTAATGTTTTAATTACAAATTTAAATTTATAAATTTTTAATGTTCAATAATCGTCTTTATAGTATTTTGATAATCGATATATAGAATAAAGTATTAACCGTTTTCATCTAAAACTAACTATTAATTTTTAAAAAAATTTAAGAATATTTTTGACATTTTTTAAAGTTGATTTTGAAATAAATAAGAACCCCGTATTTTTATTAATTTATTCTAAAAAAATCTCCCCTCTAAATTTATTTTAAAAAATTCTGATTATTTATATATAATAATAATCCATTCATACGGTTTTTAGTCACGTGTTGAGCTAGTAACGAATTTTTTTTTAATTAATTTTATAAGAATTTTTTAAAAACTTAGGAACAAATATTTGATTTGCAAACGGTTAAATTTATTTTTGAGATTTTTATATTCAATTACCTTTTATTAAAAAAAGTAATTGATAAATGAATACGACCAAACTAAAAATTCAGATAAATGCTATGTGTGTTAGCCCGAGACTAAAAAAAGATAAATGCTATGATAGGGAGACTAACAAAAGAAAAACAAGAAAGAAAATAAGCCCAATTCTCGTTCTAGCCTGAGCCCGAGACTAATCTCTTTCTCGATAGACGTATGTGTTATGCATGTCCCTAGTCTAATATTTTTCGTTTAGTTCTTTCCTGACCTAATTCATAAAGGAAATACGGCAAAATTCAGAGGCATCTCCATATAAGTTAAGCACGAGAGTACGTGAGATAATTATTGCATTGATATGGCAGACCTTCTCCTAATAAATAAATTCACTAATATTATTATTGGAGGACTCTGGAAATGAATTACCACTAATAGATATACTATTTTACGTGTCGAAACCTGTTCTGGTTGTGTTTCCAGTTTCAGACGAAGAAGGTGGGAGAGAGTGGAGAACATTTTTTCTCCGTTAAATAAATAGGACTGGAGACTAGATTGTATTTCTCGTCTCCATTTCTTACCCCACCTAACGTGATATTGAATTTAAAATATAAATAATTTTGTAAGAAAATTGTAAGACTATGTTTAGTTTTAAAAATTAAAATTTTAGAATAAAGATGGTATTAAAAAAGGAAAACTTTACCATAAATATTTTAAAAATAATAATAATAAATAAAAAAATTAACTATGAAGAACTCGATCTCAAAAAAAAAAAAAAATAAAGACGAAGAAAGCTTATTGTAATTATTTGAGTTTGTGACGTTACTATTGTTTGTCGTCCTTTTACATGTTGCATACGACAACGAGCCTAAATCAACCTATAATTTTAGAAAGTCGAGCCATTACCGATAGTATTGAAAAATATTAGTGATTTAATATTTTGTAAATCAAATAAAAAAGCTAGAAATAAATTTTAGAATATTTTAACTCTTTTCAACATGTCAGTTTCTCCACAGCCACAGGTTTGGACTTAATATTAAATTAATAATAATAATTAAAAAATACAATTAATAATTTTTTTTCCTCGTTTACAAAAAAAAAAAAATTATTATTTAATTTATAATATCTGAAACTTTTATTTTTTAATATTTTCTAGACTTTGGTCAACTTTGGAGAGCTATGCTTTTGGCCTAACTCCATGCAAAATAATCTTTATTTATTTAGCTAATTTTCAATTTTATCCTTAATTTTAAAAATTAAAATTTGAATTGTTCCTAAATAAAATTAAATTATAAATAATTTTTATTGCCGTTAGCCCTTATATTATTTTAAGATAGGTAGTAATTATTAAGAATATTTAATACTAAATTATATATTATTTGATATTTTATTAGAAGGTATTTATTTATTTGTTTTCTTAGTATAAATATCTTTCTATTTATTGTTATTTCCATTTGTTATTATTTACTTATTATTGTAATTTATTTGATTATAAATAGAAAATTTTCATGGATTAAGTTGGATGATGAAATTCCCAACGTCCACTAATTTAGAGAATGATCATAGGTTTATAATTAAATAATACTATCTCCATTGTTGTGAGGTCTTTTGGGAGTTCAAAAGCAAAGTTATGAATGCTTATGTTCAAAGTGGACAATATCATACCATTGTGGAGAGTCGTGTTCATCTAATCTAACGGTAATAATCCTGAATTTATGAGTTTTTTTTTTTTCTGTAAAACAATTTTTTGACCCATTGACTTTTTGTTAATAAATCTTAATAATTATTTTTTGAATTATCTAATTGAGAAATAACAAATAACTTTTGTTTCGATTTTTACACTAAGTTTTTAATTTCATTAATTTAAACCCTTATTTAGATAAATGTTGGAAAAATTAAAAATTCATTAATTTTTAGTGTAAAAAAACAAATTTCTAATAATAATAATAATAATAATAGCGGATTATAATGTCAGTTGCCTATCAATTTTATACCAAATATACGCGAGAATTCCTTTTCTAATGTTTTTTTAATAAAAAACATACCATAAATTATAAGGTATAAATGGTAACATCCACATCTAAATATTAAAAGTTTTAAAAAGAAATTATTTAAGTTTAAAAGTTTTATGAAGTTATAAATTATAAGTTTCAATAATATTTTAAAAAATATATTTACAATTCGTTAACACTTTGTTTAAAAACTAATGTTTAAAAGGTTTAAAAAATACCTTTCAAGTTTTCAAAAAAAAAAAAAAAAAAATATTAAACTAAAAAAAAAAACACTTTTAAACATTAAAAAAAATAAAAAATATTTCTAAATTTTACAAAGTAATATTAAAAAGTTTAAAAATAATCCATGAAATATCCATAGATAATATTCGTATATTTTACCAACACTATTAAAATTAGTTTTTTTTAAAAGTTTTTGAGTATTATTTAAACTTTTAAAATTTAGGGAAATTTTAAAGTAAAAAATTATGAGTTTTTATTTTTATTTTTAAATTAGCCTAAATTATATGATATTATACCGTAATGAATAAAATTATATATACTTAATATTTAGTTTTTCTTTTATAATTATAATTAGTTTCATAGTCTATAAATATATTATAAAATAAAATTTAAAGCGTTAATTAAATTAGAATCCAACTTCTATACAAAAAGATAAAAAAAAAAAAAAAAAAAAAATTAAATTTACTCGAGTATAAATTTTAATTCAATCTAAAGTTTTAATAAAAAATAAATATACTTCCACTCAAAATAGATATTTCCAGAAAAAAAAAAAAAAAAAAACTAACTGTCGGCGTCTTATGCCTTTAATTTGGCAAACATATATTTCCGACATAATTCTTCTGTTCCATCAGTCACATTAAATCCCATACTTTGAATTGAATTGAATTGAAGTTTGTATTTTCCTTCTCATCCTTCAAATTCCATTATCCCTTCCTTCCTTCTCTCTCCCTCTCTCAGTACTGTTCTTTTCCGTTGATGCTCTGTTTCTCTGCTCGCTGTGTTCGACGGTCGGAACTTGGGACATGGATTTCAGGGCTTCCAATTTTTCGAATCGTGTTCGTGTTCTTGTCTTTGGGTTTCTCGTTTTCAATTTCTTTGTCGGATTTGGATCGCACGCTCAGCCTCTGCCCGAACAAGAAGGTACCCTGTTCTTTTCATTTGCTCTGCTCTGTTTTGATTTTCTATTCGGAGTTGAAATTTGATCTGTTTTGGTCTGTTCTAGTTGAAGAATCTGTGTTTTTCTGTTGGGTTACTGGGAAAACGTACGAGGAAACAACACGAAATTCCTTATTGCTCTGTTTTCGTGTTTCCTGTTTGGTTTTAACTGCAAATGGAAACTTTCCGACCTGCTCTGTTTTCCGGAATTCTGTTTGGTTGCCGAGAAACCTTCCATGGAAAATATCCTGACATAAATATCTCATTAAAATATGTTTTATATTCCATTTTTGGGTTTTGAACGAATTTTTTTTGAAGAATAATTATCTTTTTTTTCCTGCTAATTCAACTTGTTAGCAATAAATGTATGGGAAAAAGATAATTATTTAAAATGATAAATAATAATTTATAACAATTATTGATTATGTTTAAGCATATTCAACTTTGTCGACGTTCCTCTTATTCAAATAGTCAAACTTTGACTTTCTTATCCGTTTGTAATATAATTTAAATTTGGTCCCACGTGTGGTTCTATTAAGTTAAGATATTTTCTTTTTTCTTTTTAATGATGAATTAGAAAATTTATTAGTTAATAGCATTGAGATATTCTTCTTCACCAGCTAAACGGTGTCGAGGACAATATTACATTATTGTCACGAACTCACTCAAATTCTCGTCCCTACCCTTATAGACACACACAGAGCATAAAAATGTTTATTTAGTCTATAGGAGACGAGAGTGAGAGTGACCGTGACAGTGAGAGAGAGATTTTTCTCAATCAACTAAACAGAACTCGAGACAATATTATATTATTGTCCCGACTTCACCCAAATCTCCACCCTAGCTCAATATATAAACACATACTTTCTAAATAAATAAATAAATAAATAAATTTTAAATATAAAAAAGTATGAATTATTATTAAATTTATTTAAATGTTTTATTTTTTTTAATGTATTAAAAAAATGAAAATTACCTCTGTATATACATATACATATATATTTAGATATACATGTACATGTATATATATACATTTACATGTATACATATACATCTACATATATACATATACATGCATATATATATATATCTACATAAATATACATGCATACATATACATATACATCTATACATATACATATACATCTATATACATACATATACATATATATATATATATATATAAATCAATCAGAATAAGATTGAAATAGGAAGATTTATACTTGTAATATATTAAACGAATGATCTGAATGCAACAGTGAGAGCCCTTCAAGCAATATCCAGAGAGTTAAGGAACTTGAACTGGAATGTGCACCAAAATTCCTGCATTAATGGCGATGGATTTTCCAATAGAATCATCGACGGTACTGATATTCTGCGAGAGGTTAACTGCACTTGCACCGCCACCGATTGCAGAGTCACTAGCATGTAACGATCTTCACTTTCTTTTTGAATTTAAGCTCAAGTTTCCATTTCAGATCACCAACGAAACGCGTCTGATACTTTTTCGACTCGTTTTCTTACTACAGTCGGCTTAAGGGCCTCAATCTAATAGGAGCTATGCCAGCGGCATTTGCAAATCTTACTCGGTTGCAACGGATGTAAGTTCTAATCATTCCTTATAGAATCATCTTGACATTTGAGTTTTTCATTTCAGTACTAAGATACTTCTTATAAAAAACGCAGCGATCTTACTCGCAATCTAATATCCGGATCAATCCCTAGAGAGTTTGCTCGGATTCCTCTTGTTGATCTGTAAGTTATTACATATAATGGGGATTAATTTTTCTTCATTTACGAATCCATGGAGCTTGGCAAGCTCATTTTGAATCTGTTATGTGTAGATCCATGTTGGGTAATCGGCTAAGTGGTTCAATCCCTCCAGAAATTGGTGACATTGTCACACTTGAGCATCTGTAAGTCATTTAACTATATTGATTAAATTTCATGTAGTGAAGATTTTTAGAGGTTGATGATGAATGAGATTTACATTTGTAGGGTTTTGGAAAACAATCTCCTTGGAGGGAATCTTCCCGAAAGCCTCGGGAGATTGAGCCGCTTGCAAAGATTGTAAGATCCGTACTTTTCGATTTTTTGAATGATTAAAAAGTGAGTTTAGAATGACTTTCGTGAGTTGGGTTTTTGATGGGTATCTGAACATCGCTTTCCACTTGTTCAAACGTCATGTTAAACTTATTAGGATCGCGCAGCAACGCACACACTCGATTTAGATGAACACAAAAAACAGAGAGAAAATGTAAGGAGGAATATTGGCTAGAGGTTTATATGGATTATTCAAGTATGTACCGTTGGAGAGAATATGGAGAATGCTGAAAGTACATTTTCAAAGAACTGTCTAAGGAGTATATATATGATTCAGTTTACTATATATCGTTTTACCAGATATACTCACCTATTATATATAATTTTACTGTGTAACTACGCACCATTTACTTTATGTCATTTACCCTATATAGCTTTATTGTGTATAACCGTCGAGTAACCTATAAATATAAATAAGCAGCAATCTCCATTACCTAACAAATCTGTTTTCATTATCGACAGGCTTCTCAGTGCAAATAACTTCACAGGGCCGATTCCAAACTCTTATGGAAGCTTGAGGAACTTGACTGATTTGTAAGTTATTCTCAAGTTCATCTTAATTTTTTTTTAAGTTTCTGAGTCCTCCAAAATTTCTTATTTGTACATGTTGTTGCAGTCGGATAGATGGAAATAATGTGTCAGGAAAGCTACCCGAGTTTATTGGCAATTGGACCAAACTTGAAAGACTGTAAGTATCTGTAATATCCTAAAAATTACAGGTTGTTACTAGAAGACTTAATAATCTATATCTAGCACACTCTTAGATTATGTATAATTGTCGATACACAGGGATATACAAGGAACCTCGATGGAGAACCCGATTCCTCGTGGCATATCCGAGTTGAAAAACTTAACTGAATTGTAAGGATTCCTACACTTCACTACTTAACATTGTTGTTTAGCTTAGTGATATGAAGAATCTGTATTAATTTGGTGAATGATTTCTAATGTAGCAATGTTTGTTCTTTCTCAGGAGGATAACTGATTTGAAGGGACCAGCAACAAGTTTTCCCAATCTGACTCAATTGACATCTTTAGAAGAATTGTATGCAAAACTTATAAATTGTTGATTTCTTATAAGCCTTCCTGTTAGATTGATTGGTTTTAACTCTCTTTTCTAATCAGGGTCTTAAGAAATTGCTTAATCGAGGATCGTATTCCAGAATATATTGGAACGTTTATCAGATTAAAAACTTTGTAAGTTGCTGAAATTCATTTTTCTTTTCTATGAGCATGTTTGTTTAAATGTTCTTGGATGAGTTCATGCCATCTGACAATGGAACTTTTGTTTTTCTCTAGAGACCTAAGCTTCAACGAATTGAGTGGTCCAATTCCAGACACATTTCAGAATCTTGCCGGAGTTACTCGGTTCTTGTAAGCTCATATTCATAGTGTACATATATATCGTTAAATTACAAGTTTGGTATCTAAACTTTCTGGGTTGTGCCTAAAGTGTGAGATCTCACAGAAAAATTCTTTATAAGGGTGTAGAAACCTCTTTCTAGTATATGCATTTTAAAATTGTAAGGCTGATGACACTAAAGCAGACAATATTTCCTAGCGGTGGAGACTGTTACAAATGGTATCAGAGCCAGACACCAAGCTGTGTGCCACTGAGGACACTGACCTCCAAGGGAGGTGGATTCTGAGATCTCACATTGGTTGTAGAGGGGAACGAAACATCCCTTATAAAGGTGTGGAAACCTCTCCCTAGTAGACGCGTTTCAAAACCATGAGGCTGGCGACGATATGTAACGGGCTAAAGCGGACAATATCTGTTAGCGGTGGACTTTGACTGTTACAAATAGGCTCTTAATCTTTCGAGTCTACTTCAATTTTGTATCTAATAGGTCCAAAACTTTTTAGAAACAAAATTGAAAGTTCGTAAACGAATTCAACACATTTTAAAAGTTAGACATGACTCCACAAGTTTAAGGATTATATTTTTTGCTTAGCCCATGACATGCAAGGTGATAAATGAAATGATTTCTTGATGTAGGTTTTTGACCAACAACTCATTAAGTGGCCAAGTACCAGGCTGGATCTTGAGCAGTGAAAGGAGCATGTTAGTATAAACTCTATGATTCTCTGTTCAATACGAAAGTCTTATACTACAAAATCTTTCTTCAAATTATGTAAGCTCTTATCTATCAACTGCTCTGTCTGCTCCTGATGATGATATTATAAAATCTATTGCAGAGATTTATCTTACAACAATTTTACAGGGTCCCCAGTTTCTAGTTGTCAACAGTCTGATGTGTAAGCCATTTCATATCTACCATTTCTGTGGCGAAAGTTCTAATATTTGTAGTTCTACTTCTCTGATATATCTTATTTCATTGTTGTTTACAGGAACTTGGTTTCAAGTTATTCATCTGCAATGAATGAAACGTAAGAGAATTTACCTACCATATATGACAACTTTTTTCTTTTTCTAAACTTCATGTGTCGTAGGTTCTAAAGTCTCTAATTTGCAGTGTTTCTTGGTGCTTGAGGAAGGATCTCCCTTGTCCTATAGGAACTCGATGTAAGTGAAGATGAATGATATTTTTACCTCTTTCGGAAAGGTAGCATTTTACTAGTAGCTATTGGTGTTAAAGAGAACTGATGACCCAAAAAAACCTATGGGTTGGATTTAGTTGAGTTTAAATAAATGAAAATTTTATGGTTGGTTTGTAGGTTCCCAATGATAAAAATATACGTACAAACGTCTTAGTCAAATTTTACTTCATTGATTAATTTGTTAAGATTGTTATTCTCCAATAATCTTAGTTCATGTTTATCCACTTCTTTGTTAACAAAATTTTAAACAAGTGACCATAATAACTCAACCGAAATGTTTTGTGATTGGATTGAGTTAAAGTTCTTGAGGTTCTTTAAGTTTGATAAATTTATGATTAGAACAATTGAGTTGGTCTAAAAGGTACCTCAATCTAATTTAACTCGCAAACTTCTACGAGTTGCAGCCATCAAATTCCTGATTGAACTACATGTCTGATACATGGCTTTAATTGCTCTTGTAGTTCATTCCTTGTTCATAAATTGTGGAGGCCAAAGAATGGAGCTTGATGGTAATGCATATGAAGAGGATGTAACTCTAGGTGGCAAGTCCAATTTCCTTTCCTTCTCAGACAGATGGGCTTATAGCAGTACTGGTGTTTTTCTGGGAAATGAGAGTGCTGATTACAGAGTAACAAGTAGCAATGCTTCTATTCCGAGCATCTACCAAACCGCTCGACTCGCACCTCTTTCGCTCAAGTACTATGGACTTTGCTTGAGAAGAGGAAGTTACAATGTGAAGCTTCACTTTGCTGAAATAATGTTTACTGCTGACCAAACATTCAGCAGCTTGGGAGAGCGCATATTTGATATCTCCATTCAAGTGAGTGAAAAATGGAAAGATATTTGGTATATTTCTATGCTTAGCGTAGGAATAGAGTAATCACTATATTAAATTTTGTATCAATTCTCAACAGGGAAATTTGGTTAGAAAAAATTTTAACATATTGAAGGAAGTTGGAGTTGGTGAGAGCTTTACTTTGGAAGAGCCTAATATTTTGGTCAATGGGAGTACGCTGGAGATCCACTTATACTGGGCTGGTAAAGGAACAACGGCCATTCCAAGAAGAGGGGTTTATGGACCTCTGATATCTGGGATCTCGGTGACACCAAGTAAAAGTTTTCTTCTTTTGTTTTGTTAGTCATTTTTTTGGTAACTTCTAGAACTTTTGTGTACTGGTTTTTTCTCTTTCAATCATTGAGATTCTATCAGTTCTAAACGGTTGCTATGCTCTTCTGCTATTGTAGACTTTGATGTGGATACTGGAGCGCTATCAGCTGGAGCTATTGCTGGCATTGTTGTTAGTAGTTTTGTGTTTGTTGTGTTGGTATTGGCTGTTCTTCGATGGAAGGGTTACTTGGGTGGAAAGGACGCTGAAGACAGTGGTAAGATACAAGTGAATGGAAACCAAAGAGCTAGGCTAGGGAGTTATTCAATGTGAGATCCCACATTGGTTGGAGAGGGCAACGAAACATTCCTTATAGGGTGTGGAAACTTCTTCTTAGTAGACACGTTTTAAAACCGTGAGGTTGAAGGCAATACGTAACGGGCCGAAGTGGACAATATCTACTAGCGGTGGGCTTGGGCTATTACAAATTGTATTAGAGTCAGACACCAGGCGTTGTGCCAGCGAAGAAGTTGGGTCTCCAAGGGGGTGGATTGTGGGATCCCACGTCGGTTGGAGAGGGGAACGAAGCATTACTTATAAGGGTGTGGAACCTCTCCCTAGTAGACACGTTTTAAAACCGCGAGGCTGACGACGATACGTAATGGGCCGAAGTGGACAATATCTACTAGTGGTGGGCTTGAGCTGTTACATTCAAATTCAAGTTCATACATGTGTCCATTTTGTTTGACTTCTTCAAAGACAAACTGAATCATTTTTAGTCAACTCTATGTGGAATATTTTGTTTAGCTTATAAATTCCTTTGATAACAAATCTGCAATCTTTTGTCTACAGAATTGAAGGCACTAGATTTAAAGACGGGCTATTTCAGTTTGAGACAAATCAAAGCAGCCACCAAAAACTTTGACCCGACGTATAAGATAGGTGAGGGAGGTTTCGGTCCTGTATACAAGGTAAGCTATGGAAGCGCTATCCTCTGTGCTCTATGTTGCATCATTGCCTAATGTCCTATCATCTTTCCTGCAATGTTGTTTACTTTGTAATCCAACATAAAACCAAACATATGTGGCAGGGTGTATTGTCGGATGGTACTCCAATTGCTGTAAAGCAGCTATCCTCTAAATCAAGGCAAGGAAACCGAGAATTCGTCACTGAGATCGGCATGATATCTGCATTACAACATCCAAATCTTGTTAAGCTTTATGGTTGTTGTATCGAAGGAAACCAATTACTGCTCGTATATGAGTATCTAGAGAACAACAGTCTTGCTCGTGCCCTTTTTGGTAAGAATTTTAGATGTGCCTGTCATATTCGTAACTTTTTTTAGTTTCTAATTAAGGTTATTGGTTATAATATGTCATGGTTTTCATTTTTAAGGCTCTGATGAGCAACGACTACACTTGGATTGGACGACACGAACGAAGATATGCTTGGGAATAGCAAAGGGATTGGCTTACCTTCATGAAGAATCTGTGTTGAAAATTGTTCACAGAGATATAAAAGCTACCAACGTGCTACTTGATAAAATTCTGAGTGCCAAGATTTCTGACTTTGGGTTGGCTAGGCTTGATGAGGAGGAGAACACCCATATTAGCACAAGAATTGCAGGCACAATGTACGTTGATCTCTATCTTCCTAATGTCGATTTGTTTACTCATTGTCTTGATAGCGATAATTATATTACCGTCTTACCTTCCAGTGGTTATATGGCTCCTGAATATGCGATGAGAGGTTACTTAACTGATAAGGCAGATGTTTATAGCTTTGGAGTTGTGGCGTTGGAGATTGTTAGTGGGAAAAGCAACACAAATTACAGGCCAAAGGAGGAATTCGTTTATCTTCTGGATTGGGTAACTGATTTTCTTTTAGCCATTAGTCGTTTAGTTCAGTGTGGATGGTCTTACATATACTTTTTCTACTTGGTTGAAGGCTTATGTATTACAAGAGCAAGGAAACGTTCTGGAACTTGTTGATCCAAGTCTCGAGTCACATTACTCGAAAGAAGAGGTGATGCGGATGATTCATATAGCTCTCTTATGCACAAACCCGTCTCCGACTCTTAGGCCAACCATGTCCTCAGTGGTTAGCATGCTCGAAGGGAAAATTGCGGTCCAAGCACCGATCATCAAGCGCAGTGCAGTCGAGCAAGATGCAAGGTTCAAAGCCTTTGAAAGGCTGTCACAAGATAGCATATCAATGACTAGCATTTCGACATCATCACAAGGCATTCCAATGCAAAAAAGCACGTTAGTTGATGGGCTGTGGATTGACTCCTCTACTTCTACCCACAAGGAGGAGACCCAAGATTGTTCTTCAACCAGAAATCTGCTATAAATGAAAACACATTGAGTTTGATGCATTTTCTGTTTCCATTTCCATTCATATTCTTCTGTAGAGTGTTGGTTTTGTGTGCTGAATAGTTTCAAAGGTTTGTTTTAGCAGACACCGACACGGTTCATGTAAATTCTTGTGTCTTTTAGAAAATCATTAGCCACAGGAACTTGGTTGGCATGTTCCTCTCCTTCTGTAACTTTCTTCTTACCTTTACATACTCTTCAAATGTACCATGAAACAAATAGATATTAAGAATGTTCTTCTTCATGGTTCTCTTAATCAAGAGGTTTTTATGACTCATCCATGACTCATCACATGGGATGCTACATCGATTGGAGAGGGGAACGAAACATTTTTTATAAAAGTGTAAAAACCTCTCCTTGGAAGATACGTAACGGGCCAAAATAGATAATATCTGCTAGCGGTAGGCTTGAGCTGTTACAAATTGTATTAGAGTTAGACATCGAGCAGTGTGCCAATGAGGAAGTTGGATCCCCAAAGGGGTGGATTGAGAGAGTTCAAGGGTGTGGAAATTTCTTTCAAGAAGATACGTTTTAAAACTGTGAGGCTGATGATGATACGTAACAGGCCAAAGCGGACAATATCTGCTAGCGGTGGGCTTGAATTGTTACAAATGGTAATAGAGTTAGGTATCAGGCGGTGTGCCAGTGATGATCCTAAGCCCCTAACGAGGTGGATTGAAAGATCCCACATGTTCGAGAGGGGAACGAAGCATTTCTTATAAGAGTGTAGAAAATTATCTCTAGAAGGCGCGTTTTAAAACCGTGAGGTTGACGACGATACGTAACAGGCAAAAACGGACAATATCTGCTAGCGATGGTTTTGGACTATTACAAATGGTATTAGAACTAGACATCGGGCGATGTGTGGACGAGGATGTTGGGTCCCAAGGAGGGTGGATTGTGAGATCTCACATCGGTTGGAGAGAGGAACAATGCATTCCTTAAGGGTGCAGAAACCTCACCGTGAGGTTGACATCGATACATAACAAGCTAAAGCGGACAATATGTACTAACAGTGGGCTTGAAATTTTATGGTCGTCCCCAAAAGACTTTATATAGACTCAAGCAGACATCTCGAAAAGAAGAAAAGTTCTCATCATTTTACTAACAATACATGAGTTACTCCTTGAGACCTCAAGTTTCTCACACATTAGAAGAGAGAAGAAGTGATAACGAGAGCATTTATGACACAAGTAACTCACGTAGAGAAATATCTCCATCAATAATTGAAAGACTCAGAAGAACGTGTAACAATCAAGGTTCACCGTAGCAAACATTATCCGTTTTGGTCCGTTACGTATCGCCATCAACCTCACAGATCTAAAACGTGTCTCCTAGAGAGAGGTTTCGACACTCTTATAAAAAAAATACTTCATTTCATGTCCTCACTCTTACGAACAATTCAAGATAAGTAGCTAACATTGTCATGTCGCACAACAACGTCAGGGCCATTGCATGTCGAATCGGAATTGACAATTTTATTTTCTAGCTGAATCAAAATAATGCATTGAATGGTGGTTAACATACAAACAAACAAGTCTTCTCAAAGTCTTCTCATCCTTTTCCATAAATTCTCCATCTTCCACACATCTCTCTGCCCATTTGAACTCTTCTGATCTCGTTTTTGAGCTGCTGCTGCTGCTTTATTGTCTGTGTTTTTAAGGAACATGGATTTGAAGAATGTTGGTGTTCATGTTCTTGTTCTTGGGTTGCTGTATTTCAACTGCTTCGTTGAATTTGGATCTGATGCACAACCTCTGCCCCAACAAGAAGGTGCCACACACTATGTTAGCCTAAATATGTTTTTTCTTTTAATGTTTGGGATTTTTATTTTTATTTTCTTATTTTTTTTTATATAGTATAGTTAATTACTAGTTATTAAAATTACATTTTTTTTTTAATTTAAAAGGTAAAATTTAACATTTTCAATCATATAATCCTACCATCCAACTAAATTTAAATATCTATTAATTTTTTACCCTAAAATTTGTTTATTTATTTATTTTTTTGTTAAAATTTATTGTAAGCATAACACAATTGGAATAAGAATTATAATGAAAATAATATACATTTTATCCCGTTTATTCCTAAAGAGTTTATAATTTTAAAATTATCTCACACTTTTTAATTTATCTCACGATAAATTTTAAAATGGTCAATTTTTATTAAAACATTAGAAATTTATATATATATATATATATATTAAAGTTAAGAAATTTATTAGATATGTGACTTGACACCAGGAGTGTTTGTGGGTTGATTGAGATATTTTTTAGACTCAACTCTGTTGTTCGGGTTGTAAAATTGGATTTGTTGGTCATTTATTTATTTTTTTAATAAAATATATATTTATTTATTTTTAAATATTTAATTAGTATTTTCTCCTCAATAAATAATATTTTAATAAATATATGTATGGATAATTGTATGGCAAGCGTATATTTGAAAATTTATTGAAATAAATTTGTTGAATTTTATGAACAAATTTTAAAATTAGAAGTAATTTTATGACATTGGATTGGATAATCCTAATAATTTTAATTTTAAATAAAACAAACACAGTGAGCGCCCTTCAAGCAATTTCAGAAGAGCTGAAGAATTTAAGTTGGAATGTCCACCAGAATTCTTGCAGTAATGGAGACGGATTTTCTAACAGACTTATCAGTGCTACCAATATCAGAGAGGTGAATTGCAGTTGTAATTCATCTACTTGCAGCATCCGCAGCATGTAACATCCTTCTCTTCCTTCCTTTTAGATCTTATGCCCTTTTTTTTTTTTGTTTGTGCAAATCATCCTATGTTCATCTATGATGTTAATATCAATGTATGATCTATGAACATGTAGAAATGTCGATACGTTGATCAAAATTGATTATACTCTCTTTTTACCGCAGTCGGCTGAAGGGTCTCAATCTAACCGGAGTTCTACCGGCTGCATTTGCGAATCTTACTCGACTGCAGTACTTGTAAGTGTGTATTTGTAGCATGTCTTTTGAAATCATGTTTTTAGGTGAAACGATTGTTATACCAAAATTGATCCTGTTTAAGTTAATTTTTTCTTGAATAAACAGAGATCTGAACGGCAATTTGATAAATGGATCAATTCCTAAGGAGTTTGGTCGCATTCCTCTCGTTACTTTGTAAGTTCTCTTTTAGGGATTTGAGTAAACTGATGTTGGTTCAATTTACTTATGAACTTCATCAGTTTGATCATAATTCTTTTCGTTTTGTTCAGTTTTATGGTGGGAAACCGGCTTAGTGGTCACATTCCTCAAGAAATTGGTGATATTGCTTCGCTTCAGGAACTGTAAGCCAACAGTTTTATACTTTATGTTTTGTAATTCATGTTTTAATTTACATTTATGGTTAGTGGATTTGATGAGTAATGGGATTCCACGATTACAGGAACTTGGAAAATAATGAGCTTGAAGGAAATCTTCCTGAGAGCTTCGGCAAACTGAGCCAGTTGCGAAGATTGTTAGATATCTTTTTTTTTTTCCTTTTTATTTTAAAACAAAAGCTATGGCTGTCTTTACAATGTCCTCCTACAACCTTCATTTTCAGAGCTACGTTGGTTTGTCTGTCTGTTTGACTTTTACCATTGATGCTACTCATTGCAGACTTCTTTCTTCAAATCATTTCACAGGCTCCATTCCTGATTCTTATGGGAACTTGAAGAACATGACCGATTTGTATGTTATAAATATCTTGATGGGCGTCCTTTGAACTTTTCTAATTCTTGTTTTCCACAATTCTTAATTTTACATGCTCTTCAATCTTGCAGTTGGATAGATGGAAATGATTTATCTGGAAGACTACCTGAATTTATTGGCAACTGGACTAAACTTTATAAACTGTGAGTAGATAGATATCGTGTTTCTATATAAATTATATAAATTCATTTCCTGTTTTATTTATTTATTTGTTTTTGCAAAATCTACTCTTGCAATATTATCAATTCACTCAAGTATAATCACAATCACTCATTGTAGTCGTATTCAAGGAACTTCCATGGAGAATCCCATTCCTCGAGCCATATCCGAGTTGGAAAACTTAACCGAATTGTGAGCTTACTTCGATTGTAATTGTCATTAATATAGTAACATCAAAGAATGTATATCGATTTAAATAACTGTTTGTGTTTCCCGTTTGCTAGGATGATAACTGATGTGAAAGGGCCATCCACAAACTTTCCTGATTTGACTCGATTGAAACGTTTACAAATACTGTAAGAATAAGTTATAAATTGTTGATATATTAAGATTCATGTTCCGGTTCAAATATTTAGATTCACAGAGGGATTTACATGGTTTCAGAATAAAAAGCCCTTTATGAAATTTTTTTACGGTATTCAATGCCATAATCCACAAGTTTAAGCTTTTGGATTAAGGGATAATTTATGGAGATATTTTTCTAACCTCGGTCTTTTCTCCTACATAGGGTCTTAAGAAATTGCCTAATCGAGGATCGTATCCCACCATACCTTGGACAGATTAGTACACTAAGAACTTTGTAAGTTCCTTAAATTCAATTTTTATTGGTATATCATGTTTTTTTCCTATAAATAATGTACCACAATTAATATTGCTTGATGGAAATCATTTTTATCTTGCAATAGAGATCTAAGCTTCAACAGATTAAGTGGTCCAATTCCAGACACATTTCAAAATCTCGTTAATGCCTTCAAATTTTTCATGTGAGTTAATATTCCAACGTGACAACAACGCTCTGTTATTTAAAGCTATGTATTTGTTGAAAATGTTAAAGTATTAATATAACTGAAACTTCTGTAACTCAAGTTTGTGTTCATTAATGATTTAACAAAAAAAAGTGCAATCACTTGTTGTAGGTTCCTTAGTAACAACTCGTTGAGCGGTCAAGTACCGAGCTGGATTGTGAACAACCAAAAGTACATGTTAGTGTAAACTCTATACTTACAAATTCTGTATCCTTCAAAATACATAATTATATATTTTCATGTTGCTTGTGGCATGAATGGTTGAATTTGATTTTTATCTTGTTCTTCGCTGTTGCTAATGGTGTTATTAATAAGTCTGTTGCAGAGATTTATCTTACAACAATTTTACAGGCCCGCCTGTTTCCAGTTGTCCACAGTCTAACAATGTGTAAGCCACTGTATATCTCCATTACCGTCATAAAACTTTGAATTGCTGATGTATATTTACTGTAGACTGTAAAAAAAAGGGGGGGGGGGGGGGGGGGG